TCACCCTAGCATGTAACACTCACCCTAGCATGTAACACTCACCCTAGCATGTAACACTCACCCTAGCATGTAACACTGGCCCTAGCACGTAACACTCACCCTAGCACGTAACACTCACCCTAGCATGTAACACTGGCCCTAGCATGTAACACTGACCCTAGCATGTAACACTCACCCTAGCACGTAACACTGACCCTAGTACGTAACAATGACCCTAGCATGTAACACTGACCCTAGCACGTAACACTGACCCTAGTACGTAACACTCACCCTAGCACGTAACACTCACCCTAGTACGTAACACTCACCCTAGCACGTAACACTCACCCTAGCACGTAACACTCACCCTAGCATGTAACACTCACCCTAGCACGTAACACTCACCCTAGCACGTAACAATGACCCTAGCATGTAACACTCACCCTAGCACGTAACACTGACCTTTGTTGATGAAGGAGGTGTTCGTGTTCTCTGTGTAGCGTTTGTAGCTGTCTAGCACGTAACACTGACCCTAGCATATAACACTGACCCTAGCACGTAACACTGACCCTAGCACGTAACACTGACCCTAGCATGTAACACTGACCCTAGCACGTAACACTGACCCCAGCATGTAACACTGACCCTAGCATGTAACACTCACCCTAGCATGTAACACTGACCCTAGCATGTAACACTGACCCTAGCACGTAACACTGACCCTAGCACGTAACACTCACCCTAGCATGTAACACTCACCCTAGCACGTAACACTGACCTTTGTTGATGAAGGAGGTGTTCGTGTTCTCGGTGTAGCGTTTGTAGCTGACTAGCACGTAACACTGACCCTAGCATGTAACACTCACCCTAGCACGTAACACTCACCCTAGCACGTAACACTGACCTTTGTTGATGAAGGAGGTGTTCGCGTTCTCGGTGTAGCGTTTGTAGCTGACTAGCACGTAACACTGACCCTAGCATGTAACACTCACCCTAGCACGTAACACTCACCCTAGCACGTAACACTCACCCTAGCATGTAACACTCACCCTAGCACGTAACACTGACCCTAGCACGTAACACTGACCTTTATTGATGAAGGTGAAGTCCGCGTTCTCTGTGTAGCGTTTGTAGCTGACCGCATCGTTCTTCTTCATGAAGTCGAAGGTCGTGTGTGCGACAATTCCCTCCACCTGCTCGTCTGTCAACTCACGGCCCAGGAAGCGACCGATGCGGCGAACGTGACCCTCGTGGTCCTGTAATCAGACAGGGAGGCTGATAAATAACTAGAGATACATCATACTCAATTATTACTCAGACACGGAGGCTGATGAATAACTAGAGATACATCATACTCAATTATTACTCAGACACGGAGGCTGATAAATAACTAGAGATACATCGAGTAATAATTAAGTATGATATATCTCTAGTTATTCATCAGCCTCTATGTCTGAGTAATAATTGAGTATGATGCATCTCTAGTTAAATTATCAGCCTCCATGTCTGAGTAATAATTGAGTATGATATATCTCTAGTTATTTATCAGCCTCCGTGTCTGAGTTCTCTAGTTATTTATCAGCCTCCGTGTCTGAATAATTGAGTATGATTCCGTGTCTGAGTTGTATCTCTAGTTATTTATCAGCCTCATACTCAATTATTACTCAGACACGGAGGCTGATAAATAACTAGAGATACATCATACTCAATTATTACTCAGACACGGAGGCTGATAAATAACTAGAGATACATTAACTAGATACATCATACTCCATTATTACTCAGACACGGAGGCTGATAAATAACTATAGATACATCATACTCAATTATTACTCAGACACGGAGGCTGATGAATAACTAGAGATATATCATACTCAATTATTACTCAGACATGGAGGCTGATAAATAACTAGAGATACATCATACTCAATTATTACTCAGACACGGAGGCTGATGAATAACTAGAGATACATCATACTCAATTATTACTCAGA